CCACACTCATCAGCTCTCCGAGCCCTGGCCGCCCTGCGCTCATCCTGTGGTGCGTCTGCGGCCTCTGCATCTCTCTGGGAGCCGCGGCGCCGACCGCCGGCCAAGGGCTTAGTGGAGCTGCGCCGCCCGCGCCCGCTCGCCCTCCGCGCACTCCTTTCGTGCGCGATTCTCACCTCACCTCCGCGTATCTCGACCGTCGTTCGAGATCGATTGATGCCTTCGAGCTGTGGTTAGCAGAACACACTGGCGTGCCACCCGCCACGCTTTACCGAAGCGGGATACTTCTCGCCCGTTTCCTAGCGACCTTCGGCGTGTGGCTTCATGATGCAGGTTTTCCCCATTATATTTTGGTCCACGCCATCTTGGGAATCCAGAGCGCCCATCCGCATTGGAAGGCCTTTCTGACAGAAGCTTGGGACGTAGCGAAACAATGGAAGCTTGCAGAGCCGCCAAAGCTCCGTCCCCCCTTGCCACGCGCGCTGCTGCGCGCCATGGTCGGGCTCTGTCTCGCCTGGGACTGGCCTGTGATGGCGGCACTGCTGCTCATGGGCTTCACGATGTTCCTCAGGCCTGGCGAACTGCTGGCGTCCCGCCGCTGTGACCTGTCGCTTCCGTGCGACCGTCTCGAAGTCGAAGGAGATGCTTTTCTTTCGATTCTTGTTCCAAAGACCAGAAGAACGTACCCGACGCAACATGCTCGCTGCTCCGATCGGGGCACGGTGAAGATATTGAATCTTGTGTTTGGGAGGCTGGCTTCCACCGATCCTCTCGCCCCCTTCGGTGCGAGCGGCTTCCGTACTCGGTGGAATCATCTGCTTTTGGCTCTGGGCGCCCCCCTTGCCAAAGCAGGTCAGGGGCTCAACCTGACGCCCGCTTGTCTGCGGGGCTCTGGCGCAACAGACTTTTATATCGCCACGGAAGACGTCCCTCGCGTCTTCTGGCGAGGGCGCTGGCGTCAGGCTTCCAGTGCCGAACGCTACCTGCAAGCCGCCGCCGCCTCTACAGTTCTTGCTGCGCTCCCCGAGCACGCGCGGGCTCGTATCTTGTTCTTCGCCACCGCCAGCGACCGCCTCGTCGCTTCGTTCCTCCAAGTCGGCCCCGCCGCTTGGCCTGCCCTGCTTGCGGCCGCCCGCCAAAACCTTGTCACTTCGCAAGGTCCTTGAGCACGGGCATGGCTGCCTCGCCGACCTCGGCGACCAGACGGACTCCACCGTCTGACGCGCGGCGCCCCGGCTTGAGCGCGCGGGACGGGCCTGCCCATTTTGGGCCGCCCCGCGCGCGCACGCCGCGGCCGCGCTCGGAGACAGCTCGCTAGCGCGCGAGCGGGAGAATGCTTCTTCTATTCTCTGTGAGCAAGCTCCTGCTGTCTCCGCAGCTTCTCAGCCCCCCTCCCTCCTCTCCCACTCTAAGGCTGACGGGCGCTGCCTCGCCGACCTCGGCGACCAGACGGACTCCACCGTCTGACGCGCGGCGCCCCGGCTTGAGCGCGCGGGACGGGCCTGCCCATTTTGGGCCGCCCCGCGCGCGCACGCCGCGGCCGCGCTCGGAGACAGCTCGCTGGCGCGCGAGCGGGAGAATGGGTCTTTCGCCAGGATAATTTTTACCCTTTTGGAGTGCTCCTCATGTAGAGGGACAGGCTCGACGCAAGGCCAAGCCCAAGCACGCGGGCGGCCACTGTCGCACCGCACACGGCAGCAAGGCAAGCCGCGCACCAAGAGGCATACTTGCCGAGAGTCACGTCTTGCGTGTGGCCGGTGTGCTTAAATCGGGCACGTCCCTCCACAGGAGGAATATTCCAAAATGGTCAAAACATATAGTCGGGGGACGATGTGTTCTTAGTATTCTGGGCTATTTTTGGAGTATGTGTCGTGTATGTTCAATTCTTCCCCAAAATTCCCTGCAGGGGGACATGCCCGACCCAACGATGCGCAAATGGCTCCAGACATTCCGCCGACCCCCAAGAGGAGCGAGAGCCTGCCACGATCCTGCAAGGCATCTCGTCGGAGGCATTCGACGGCCTCTCTGGATGCCTGTCGGGTGCGTTGTACAGTGAGGGCCCTGAGGAAGGAACCCTTTTCGTTGGGATGGGTCTCGGTGTTCCTTAAGTGTTTCACAGCTTGCCTCAGGTGTTCCTTAGGTTTTCGATGCGAAATCGAAGTTTAATTTATGGAACATAGGGGCCTCGTTCCTTATTTAGGGTTCCTTAGGTCAACGCCTCGACTGTAGGCCTCCTGGAGGCCCCTTAGGGGGCCTCCCGGGAGCGCCTCTGCGGCCTCCGGGAGGCCTCTCGTGGCCATCTTGGGGAGAAAGGCTCGACACGTCAGTTCATAATGGGCCCCGCTTGGGCTCCTCTGGGGGCGCCTCTTGGGCCGTCTCAGGGGCCCCCTGTAGGTACTCGAGATTTCGTAAGAAAGGGATGGGGGGTCTCATTTCGGGGGGGGGTCTCTCCCAGGCTATCTTGGAGGGCCTGGGGGGTCTGGGGACGATGTTTTGGAGGGTTCTCCCACGGGGGAGGTCTTGAGCCGTCTCAGGTCAGAAGGAAAAGAAACACACAGACACAATTGATCGTCGATTCCCCAGGAAATGCTGGAAACTATGGGAGGTGGGGGGGAAGTCGAGAACCCCAAAAGATATGGGAAAATACAGGCAATATGTTTATTTATGTATTTATTTGTGTGTCCCAGGGCCCTTCATCAGGGACCCCCTGTAGGTAACTGTCTGGGGGCCCCTTTCGGCCGTCTTGGGGCCTCTTTGGTGGCCTCCTGGGCCGTCGTGGACGCTGCGAAGACGAAAGCTGCGAGTATGCCAGAAGTCGAAGATTCCTGGATGGAACGGGTCGAGTTTTGCTTCATAAGGCCCTCTCGGCGGTCCTCCTGGAGCTGGGCGACTCGCTGAAGCCCTCTGGGACCGTCGTGGGTCTACCCTGCGCCGTCTCGACGTTCTCCAGGACTGTCTCAGCGCTCTGTCTTGGCTCTCTAGGGCCGTCTTGGGGCTCTTGGAGGCTCCTGAGACCTCAGCGATGCGTTGACGAGGTCCTCGGAGGCTATTTTCGGCCCCTGGGGCCATCAAAAATGGATCCTGGGCGAAACGTTGGCCCCGGGAAAGTGGCCGAGACCTTTTCTGGGGTTGCGCCGTGAAAACAATCGCATCGCTGGATGTCTGGGGACGCCGCGGTCGCGGCGCGCCTCAGGGGATAGCAAACGTGACCCCGGAGCAGGCGTGCCTGGAATGCATCGGGGCTCAATGGACGAGGGCACGGCAAACGGGGGTCGGCCAGAGGGCCGGACTTTGCAGGATCCTGCAGGGCCAGGGGTGCACTGCCCCGGGCTAGCGTGCAGGATCCTGCAAAATGATTGGCCCGGGTTTGGATTGACCCGGGTCAGTTCGGAGGTTGATAGACCTCCAACCTTGACACGTCGATTAGTGAATTGGCCGTTTTCGGTTCGCGAGAGGGCGTCGCGGCCGTCATCTTCGCGGGTCCAGCTCAGTCGGTTTAGGTCCTAGGCCGTTTCCACTAGAGGGTGGGTTATTAGAGGGAGGTTTGTCCACCGCCGGTCAGTAGATCCCCGAGATCAGGGAGGCTTCCGCTAGAGGAGCCAGAGTTCAAGCCAGTGGTACGTCTCCAGTCGTCTCGCACGGGCTCGAGGGCAGCATTATGACAGTATTACCGTCTACTCGAAGCCCCCCCTCAGGTCATTAAGCACAGTACAACCCCTAACCCTAATACCACGATGAACTTGTGGCCTACCTCAGGTCATCGCTTTTTAGGGGTGTCCCTCGACATGTCGGCGGCTTCGTGTGAGGCATCTGCAAAAAAGACCCCCTGCCTCTGCCGTTGCTGGCTCTCCTAACTTAGGTCCCTCCCGAAGGATTGCGGGTACTCTTGTTGCTTGCCAGCAGGGCGCCTTTACGGTCAACCCGCATATTAAGGATGGGCAACCAGGTTGCCGCAACCTTTCCGAGGGCACCTTTGCATCCTTGGCTCCTCGGCCCATCCTTGGCCACTTTCATTGGCCGCGCCCCGCTCGACAAGCTGCGACGTGGCCTCCCGAAGCCCTCGCGTGCTTCTCGCGCATCCTTGCGGCACGGGTGGACTGCAGGCCGGATGCTGGCGCAAGCCGCGCTTGCGGCCGCGCCCGCCGCGGCACCTCACTGGCCCCTGCATCGTCCTGTTCGAGGCTCGTTTCGGGGACCTTCCTGGAGCCCACCTAACGCATCTGTTCGACCCCAGTTCGACTCAAGTTCGACTCAAGTTCGACTCAGGTTCGACTCAGGTTCGACCCAGGGTCGACCCAACTCGACTGACGTTCGACGCAGCTTCGACGCACGAGTGGAGCGAGTGGCTCCAGGAAGGTCCCCAGACCGAGCATCCAAGTCCTGGCGGCCGGGCGACGGCGGGGGAGAGTGCGCAGCTTGTTGCATGCAGGTGGTCTCGGCCCCGCCGGCGGGCCTGTTGTTCCCCGATGCCGTGGGTGCCTGCGGCGCCAGCGCACGTGGTGCGCGCGGCGCGCTCGGCACGCGTGCCGTGCTTTGGTCAGGAGGGGAAAAAGACACACAGACACAATTCGTCATCGATTCCCAGGAAAATGTGGAAAACTATGGGACGTGGGGGGGGTAGACAAAAAAATCCAGAAACTGTGGGACAACATGGGGAATCTGGTTGTTTGTGTGTATTTATTTGTGTGTCCCAGGGCCCCTTAATTTGGTGGCTTTCGATTTCAGCGGATCGCTGGCAACCGTTGTTTCGGTTTTCGCTTCGAAGTCCGACGACGCCGATGAGGACAGAAGAGAGAGCGGTTGATCAGTCCGCGTCCAAGGCGTTGCAGTGGAGTCATCAGCAGGTTGCTGGTCAGAAGAGCGTTTGCAGAGTCTCGGACTCATGTTATATTTCTTTGGTTTTGAAGTTTGACCATTATGAGTATCTGCCAGTGTCTTGGCTCTCTCCAGGCAGTTACAGCATCCCCGCCCTCATCCCCACCCTGACACGGCCGCTGCCGCAGGAGCCCAGGTTCGACCTTAAGGCCACGGTGGGTTTGCAGGAGTGGTCGCTGAAGAATTGGCGGGTCATGTTGAAGAAGAGAACTCGGCAGAAACACGCCAGCCCGCGCGGACCCCAGACAGTGCGACGACGTCTAAGTTCAGGAGGGAAAAGAATCACACAGACACAATTGATCATCGATGTTCAGGAACATGTGCTAAACTATGGGACATGGGGTGGGGGGAAGACAGAAACCCAGAAACTATGTGAACGTATTGGGAATCCTGGGATTGTGTGTATTTATTTGTGTGTTTGTTCAAGCAGTGGCGAAGCGTCCTGGCTCACCTATAGCCCTACCAAGCAATGTTCTAAGAACCTTGATGCGGTTTCCACGAAATGTTCTTAGAACATTTCTTGTTGGCATTGTCTTGTGTTAACACATCGGGTTTCTGTTCTGAGAATATTGTCCTTGTGCTCTGAACCCTTTTTGGGTTCTGAGAACATTCCGTGGTAGGACGACAAGAATGCCGGGACGGTCGGTCCCTGCTCACTTTGTGGGCCCCCTTCACAAGCGCAAGCACTGCCGGGGGAGTTGGCCGTCAAGGATCCGCCCACACTTTGCTCCGATCCGCCACGGGGCGCCCCGTGGCGGCGCCTCCGCCGCCGCCCTCTGGCGCGCCTGCCGCGCGCCGAGGTTCTGTCGGGCCGGCGGCCCCTCTGCAGGAGGAGTATTCAAGAATAGTCAAACATTGGCTGGGGACTACGTTTTGATTTTTTGTTTGTTTTGTTTTCTGTTTTTTTATATTTGGGGGGGTTCAAATTTTTCTGTCAACATTTGCCTTCGGGTGGACATTCCCGACCTAGCGCCGGGAAGGGGCGGTGGCCTACGGCACCGATCCAAGAAATCCGCGCGGGCATTCGACAGCTGATGTCGGCGTTGTTGTGCCAGGGGTGGACCTCAGCGGTGTGTTGGCCATTTTTCCTAAGCCTTTTTCGTTCCGATGCCGTTCTGCAGCAATGGCGAACTTCAGACAGCTCAAGGGGAACCGAAAGCAACACGAGAACCAACAACATTGTTTAGATCGAGCCCTTCACCACCCACCAAACCACCCCAACCCAACCCGAAGGCTCAAATTTACCGTCGATTTCCAGTGGGGGGGGTCGGGGAACATCGAAAAAACACGCGTGGAACCATTACCCCCCCCGAACCCGAAATTCGCGTCTTCGGGTTGGGTTGGGGTGGTCTGGTAGGTCGAGCCCTGTGCTGGTTCCTTCTTCTTGCGTAGTGCAGACGGCCTTCGGGTCCTGCATGAGCACGGCGCCCTTCGCCGCCTTCAGCCTCACCGGCGGCGTCCACGGCCGCGACCAGAGCATGGACGCGGCGGCCATCGGAACCGCGCTGGCGCTGTTCAAGCTGGGCCGCCTGGGCACGCTGGTGCTGCTCAACGTCCTCCCGGAGCCGGGGGGCAAAGCAGGGCTCGGGCGTCGCGTCATGGGGGGGTCATACACGGGGGGGGGGAGGGGGGCGAGGGTGGTCCGAAAAGGTACCCAAACGGTACCTAAACGAGCCCCCTGGGGCTCCGGAGGGGCCCGAAAGGGGCACGAAAGGGGACCGTTTCTGACCCCCCCATCTATGACCCCCCCATTAGTTAAGCCACGCCCAAAGGGCTCGAGCTAAACGGTGTTTTGGCAATCTCGTGGACCGTTTTCGTTCTGCCTCCGTTGCGGACAGAACTGGGGAGGACGAAAACAAGACGAGAACAGAAAACACTGTTCATCTCGAGCCCTGGGAAGAACATCCAAGTGGGGCCACTCAAGACGACGGCTGCCCTCCACGGCGTGTTGCTCTCAGTGCCCGGCCCGCCGGGAGGTTCGTCGTCGCCACGGCTGGGTCCGGTCCGAGAGACGGGCAGGCCCAGAGCCCAGGAAGGGTCTGGGGACAGATTTTGAGCGGGCTCCGTGCCGGGCGGGCGAGTCGCCGTTGTCTCACTTGGCCTCTTTCTGGGAGCGCCTCGGCGTCGACACGCCGACACCATCAAGACGCCGGCGAACGTCGGATACGACAAAATGCGCACATCTGAATGTCCTGAGGTCTTCGCGTGCACTTTTTGGATTTGTGTTGGACCCCCCCTGTCCGCGCCAAAGGGCCCCTGCCGCGCTCCGCGCGCCAGGGAAGGATGTTCATCGCCAATCCAAGAAATCCATGCGAACCTTCGGAAGTTTCTGGTTTTGCTGTTTTTTTTCCATGGTTCCCGTGAAAAAGGGAACAGGTCGGGGTCGGGAGGGGCTCGCTGTTGCTCAGTTTCTTCCATTGTTGTTCCTGCAGCGCTCCTCGCGCACCCTGGCGCTTGTGGGACTGGAGGAGGAGGAGGAGGAGGAGGAGGAGGAGGAGGAGGAGGAGGAGGAGGAGGAGGGGGGGAGGAGGAGGAGAGGAGGAGCAGGAGAGGAGCAGGAGGAGGAGGAGGAGGAGGAGGGAGGAGGAGGAGGAGGAGGAGGGAGGAGGAGGGAGGAGGAGGAGGGAGGAGGTGGAGGAGGAGGAGGAGGAGGAGGAGGAGGAGGAGGGAGGAGGAGGAGGGAGGAGGAGGAGGTTTCGTTGAAACCTTTTCGGGAACATGTGAGGAAGAGGATAATGATGAGAAGACGGAAACGGGAGTAGGAAGGAGAAGGAGGAGGAGGAGGAAGAAAGGGAGGAGGAGGAGAAGAATGAGGAGGACGCCTTCACGGTTGTCTCCTGGGAGCTTCTTGGGGGCCTATTGGTGGCCTCGTGGGGGCCTCCTTGGGCCTCCTTGGGAGCCTTTGGGGGCTTGTTCGGGGCCGCTGTGGCTGTCTTAGGGCATTCCTAGCTCGTCTGACGCCGTCGGAAGCCGTCTTGGATACCTCTCTGAACCGACTTGGGGCTCTCTTGGTGCGCATCAGGGCCGTCTTGGAGGCTATCTTAGGCGTCTTGGAGGCCTCTTGGGACGTCTTGAGGCCCACTTGGGGCTGTCTTGGAGGCTTATTGGGCCGTCATGGGGTTATATTGAAGGCCTTTGGGACCATTTTGCGGCGATATTTGGGGCCTCTTAGGCCGTCGTGGGCCGTCGGAAGGCTCAAATAAGCAAATTTTATAATCCTTCAAACACTCGAGGAAATCAATGGTTTGGGCCTCTTCGGACCTTCCTGGAGGTCCTCTTGGAGGCCACTTGGGCCGTCTTGGAGGCCTCTTGGGGGCCTCTCGGAGCCATCTTGGGATCTTGGAGGCCAACGAGGCCGTCTTGGAGTCGTTGGTTGCGCAGCGGCATGACCTTGCGCCGGCGGCATGGACCGAAGCACCAGGGGATTTGTTTGGGGACAAGAAGCAAAAAGCCGTAGGATCTAGCACGTCAGGCGCCCTTTTGATAAATCAGCAGGAGGCAACGGACCGAATGGCTTTCGGCCCATCCCGCCACCGTGCTTGAGTTGTTGGTCTGAGGCCTCTTGGATGATCGTTGGGATCTCGTCGAGGCCTATCAGGGGCCTGCTGGAGGCAGTTTGGAGGCCTCTGGGGGCTGGTTTTGGTGCCTCTTTTGGGCTTCTTGGAGCCGCTGAGGGTCCGCTTGGTGGCCTCGTTGGGCTTCTTGGGGGGCCTCTTGGGGTCTCCCGGGCGCCTCCTCGGGAGGAAGGTTCGGGCTTTTGGCCTCGCGTGCCCGCTCCTGGGCGCGCGCAGGCGGCAGCCCCCTGGGGCCAGGTGAGGGCCTTGGCATCGCTCGGACGTGTGCATTTTTTTCTCGGCGAGGACCTTCGAGGAGCATCCTCGACCATTTGGCGAAAAAAACACGCACGAAACCGAAAAAAAAGGAAATGGACGTCCGAGCGATGGTCAGGGCCCTCAGAGGCCCAGAACGGCCAGGAGCCTCCCTTCTCGGCGCACCTTCGGGGCCCCTCTGCGCGCACGCAGTCCGCGCGGAAGGAAGCCGCCGGCCACTCCGACGCGCCCTGCTCTGTGCCCCTCCCGGTCGAGCGAGGGCCACAGCCCCGGCGGACGGAGAGAACCTTGGGCCCCACGCCGTGAACCAGGAAGACCGAGTCGTCCGAAGCAGTGGGCTTGCGCCCTCCTCACTCAGAGCGTGCATTGCCTACCCCGCTTTCGCTTCCAGGCGAAGCCAAGCCATACCAACGCACCTCCTCGTCAAGCGGCCTGACCAGTACAGGCCGTAGTTTGGCATCGTGTTTGGTATCTCCTGGAGGCGAGGGTGGTCCAAAGCGAGGCAGGTTTGTTTCCCCCCTCCTCACGTCCTCCTCCCCCTCTCGCTCGCCATGGCGGGCCCCGTCGCCCAGCAGCTCCCCTTCTGGGGACTGGCCCTCGCCCGATGCCGTCCTCGCCCTTCAGGAGGGGAAAAAACACACAGACACAATTCATCGTCGACCCCCAGGAAAATATGGGAAAATATGGGAAGTGGGGGGGGAAGACAAAACCCAGAAAATATAAGAAAATATAAGGGAATCCTGTGATATGTGTGTGTTCATTTGTGTGTCCCAGGGCCCCTTCCGTCCGGGCGTCGTCCTCAGGAGAGCGGCAGGCATGGCCCGCGCCTGCTGCCGCCGCGCCACCTGTCGCACCTGCTGGCCGCCGCGCTCGGCGCCGCGGGCGCGCTGTGCACGCTGGGGTCGTCCCCGGCGGCGCGCGCCAGTGGCCACGAGGCAAATCTGAAGTCGGGCTTGTCTCGGGCCGGACGAAAGGGGAGGATTGGGAAAGGGGGGGGTGGGAAATCTGCTGCATGCAGCTGGTTTCGGCCCCACCGAGGGGCCCATTCCTCTGTACATAGCCGCCTCCGGCGCCGGGAGGCGCCGGGAAAATCAGCTCCGTGAGCTGATTCTCAAACCCCCCCTTTGCTATCCCCCCCTTTCGCCCGACCCGACTGTCCCTCCACAGGAGGCAGTTTCAAACGTAGTCACGAAGATAGCAGTACGGGGACCACTGTTCCACCATTTCTGCATCTTCTTGAGCATGTTCTTGCCTACTTTTTATTCTTCGTCCAAAATCCGCCTGCAGTGGGACATGCCCGACCTGAGGCAAACCCCAGACGACCCAGGGATCTGACGCCCCGAGTCGCCCGAGCAAGAATGGAGGGGCCCCTCGTTGGGGGGCCCTCGCTGGGCCTCGGGACAGTCAAAAAACGACTCGGGACGCAAACTCGGTCCAATAGGGAGCTGGTCCAGACCTCGGGGCCCACGCATCGAAAAAATGGAGCAGCCAGATATCTGGACAGCTGAGAGGTTCGATGGTGGTCGAGCTCTCCTTCGCAGGCGATTTTTTCTCCCCCCGTCCCCGAGTGCCACCCAAGAGGCGTGGCCGCTCAGGGACAGGGGGAAGCTCCTCGGGAAACACCACAAGAGGGCCATTCGGACGCACCAGTATCGACGAGAGGAGGAGGAGGAGGAGGAGGCGGAGGAGGAGGAGGAGGAGGGAGGAGGAGGTGGAGGAGGAGGTAGAGGTGGAGGAGGAGGATGGAGGAGGAGGAGGAGGATAGAGGCCCCCCATCGTATGTCCCCAGGGTTGGGCCCCAAATTTTTGGTCCACGCGAAAGGCCCACGAAGCCTGCGATAGGGGTCGGCATGTCCCCGGCCACTCGCCTTCTCCGCCTCGGCTGGATCCGCCTCGAAGTTCTTGTCAGAATGCACCCCGGGAGAGGGTCGCCTCCTCCATTCTCCTCCATTCTCCTCCTCCCTCCTCCCTCCTCCTCCCTCCTCCTCCTTCCTCTTTGTCCTCCTCTTTCTCCTCCTCCTCCTCCTCCTCCTCCTCCTCCTCCTCCTCTTTCTCCTCCTCCTCTCCTCCTCCTCCTCCTCCTCCTCCTCCTCCTCCTCCTCCTCCTCCTCCTCTCCCCTCCTCCTCCTCCTCCTCCTCCTCCTCCTCCTCCTCCTCCTCCTCCTCCTCCTCCTCTCCCCTCCTCCTCTTCCTCCTCCTCCTCCTCCTCCTCCTCCTCGGGGAGGAGCGGCATCGGTGGCGGGCGTGCCAACGTTGTCGTGGCCGGCGTCTTCGGCAGGTTTCGGGCCCGGGGAGCCTCGGGAAATGTTGCAGAAAGATTGTGTGTTCGGGCTCTGGTGGCGGTGCTTCGCGACGGTCCGAGTCTTCGCGCCGTCGGATCTCAGGGACGGGTCGGGTCGTTTCTGGGAGCTCCTCGTCGCCAGGGCCAGGCCACGGAAAATCGGTCCCTGGACCCAGTGAAGGGTCCAGGGACCGATTTTCCGTAGACGCGCTAACGGCGATGTAGGTTTCGGCACTGTAGGTGGAGCTGGCTCGTGGCCACTTAATTGTGGGACATCGTGCTTCGTGCTTATACAATTTGCTGCGTCGTTCTCGCTCAATACATTCGCGCATTTGACGTGCAGGACAGTGTGGCACGTGATGTCCTACACTTTGTTCTGCGCCAGCTCGGCGTCGCAACCGTCGGATTCCCAACATCGCCGTCAGCCAGCATCGCCGTTAGCTTGGCATCGCTCGGACGTGGACCATCGAGAACCATCGAGGACCTTCCTGGACCATCGAGCAAAACAAACACGCACGAGACCGAAACATGCACGGGAAATGGACGTCCGAGCGACGGCAAGTTAGCGCGGCCTTGGATCTCGGGCGGGCAGGCGCAGACCTGCGCACGCCGCTCGCACAGAGCAGCCACTCGGGGCGGGAGGGTTTTGAGCCGCGTTCGGTCTCCTCGGCGTGGCCTGCCCAGGCCACGGGGCTCTCGGGCAAGCAGGGCTCGGGGCAAGCGGTGCCCCTTGGACCTGGCATCGCTCGGACGTGTGCAGTGTTTTATCGGCGAGGGCCATCGAGGAGCATCCTTGATCATTGGGCGACAAAAAAACACGCACGACACCGAAAAAAACACAGGGAATGGACGTCCGAGCGATGGCCAGTGGCGGTCTCGCGGGCCGTGTTCGCTCTGGTCTCGTGCCGCGGCAGAGGCCGGGGAGCGACGACAGCACGACGGAGCACGAGAGCAGCGCGAAAAGACGACCCATGGCGGCGCAGCTCGAGAAAGCAAAGAGCGAGCCCGGGACCGAGGCGACAGCGTAGAAGAGCAGCAGAGCGTCAAGGGCATAAAAAAAACGCCCCTACCCTGGTTTACGAGGCGCTGTGCGCTGAAACTCCTGTGGGCTGGCAGGGTAAACCCTGCGTGACGTGCCGCGTCCTGGCAGCTCTAGGCTTTGGGGGTTCCCAGGAGGTTTACAGACCACGCACTTGTAACCCAGGGTAGGGTCGTTTTTTCGTCCCTCAAGAGCGGACGCGATGACGCAACGAAAACGAACACCGCGGCGACTCGGGATGGAAGCGACGGCCCCCTGGGGCAAGGGGTCGGCCTTTCGGGGGGGCCCCCGTGCGGATAACGCAGCAGGGCACCGCACGTCTGGCGGAGGGCTGTGCCCTCTCCGTGGCCGCCCCCTCTCCTCCTGCTTTCTCCACCCTCCTCCTCATCAGTTTCCTCCTCCTTCCCTCCTCCTCCTCCTCCTCCTCCTCCTCCTCCTCCTCCTCCTTCCCCTCCTCCTCCTCCTCCTCTCTCCTCCGCCCTCCCTCAGTCGCCTTCCTCCTCCTCCGTCGCCCTCCCTCCTCCTCTCCTCCTCCTCCTCCTCCTCCTCCTCCTCCTCCTCCTCCTCCTCCTCCTCTTCCTGTTCCTCCTCCTCCTCCTCCTCCTCCTCCTCCTCCTCCTCCTCCTCCCTGTTCCTCCTCCTCCTCCTCCTCCTCCCCCTTCCTCTCCTCTTGCGTGCGGGCTCAGTGGCGACGCTGTGTCCTGGTCTCGCCTGGACGCGCGAGCGGCCGCCTCTTGCCGCGCTGCGACGTACAGCATATTTGGACATGGGGCCCGAGAGCAACGTGGGTCTTGATCGGAGGCTTGAGCATATACACTACCAGTGGCGGGCCGTTTTTCAATCCCGGGATCTGAAGTGTCGGGGACGTCGTCGGGCTGCTGTGGTGCATGTTTTCTCCCCTCTTTCCCGGAGAAGCAGCGAAAAATGTATACACCAGGGTCCCGTATACACCAGGATCTGCTCTCCAGGGCAATTTCCAATGCAGGGTCGGAAGAAGCGTCGGTGTACAGCGTTCGCTTCCTTACCTGAGGTGTTCCGCAGTTCTCGAGTTGTGTGAGAGGAGGGCGAGTCGGGACAACGGTGGTTCGCCTCCGGGGGGGGGTCCCCAGGCTCCGGGGCCGTCGGCAAGCAGCTCAGGGTCAAGAGTTGGCCCTACAGGGCCCAGGACGCGTCTCCCTGAGGACCCGAGTCGTTCATGCCGAACCAGAGAGGTGGCGCAAGGGAGTTTCGAACGTTTCCGGGAGTTGTTCGAACGGCTTCGATACCTGGGTGTCCTCGTCTCTCGTCGCCACAGCTGGATTCTCCTCGAGATCCTGGTCAGAACACGTTCCAGGAGAGGTTTGGGGAGCAGTGGTATCGGCATCTGTCTATTGCCCCCATTGAAGGTCGGACGGGGTTTCGAACGTCTTCGTAGCTTCCCAAATGTTTTTCGCGCCTCGTCGACAGCGTGCCGAGGGTGCCAGGATCAACCAGCTAGGTGCTTGTATTGTTTGCTGCTATCCTAAGGAAAGGAGAATCGGAGGTTGATAGACCTTCTACCCTAACACGTCGATTAGTGAATTGGCCATTTTCGGTTCGCGAGAGGGCGTCGCGGCCGTTATTTTTGCGTGTCCTGGTCCGTCGGTTTCGGTCCTCGGCCGTTTTCATTGCACGGATGCTTACTCAGGGGAGGTTTGTCCACCGCCGAAAGAAGGCAGGTGGCTTCTCAGAAGGGCTTGGAAGGCCCACAAGAGAGCACCGTTCCTTCTGAGGAGGCCCCTGCCTTCTGACAGGCCCCCTGCCTCCTGGGGACAATTTTTTAGTTTTGTTGAATCTTTTGTCCAACTTTTTTTGAATTGTTCGTCCAAAATCCGCCTGTAGGGGTACACGCCCGACCTAACCCTAGTGATGTGCACCGGACGGGGCCCGGATGAGGACACATCCGTTCGAGAGCGTTCCGGCACGCTCTCAGAGCTTTCCCGAACGCTCGCTCTGAAAATGCCGCGGCGCGGGAGACATCCTCCAGAACCGCTGGGTCTCAGATTCTCTTTTTGTCTTCATCTTTCGTTATCCTCGTCCTGACTCCGTCTCAGCGCAGTGGGAGAGTGCCCGCCCAGACAGGACGGTTGAGGACAGGACAGGGGCCTGGTCGAACCACAGGGGTCGGCCTGTGAATGGGCGGGGCCACAGCGCCTTGGGTTAAGCATGCGCACGCATGAGCGAGGGAGGAGAGAGAAATAGAGAGAGAGAGCGAGAGAGAGAAAAAAAGAGCAGACGTTGTGCCCCCGACGGGAAAGGTGGAGGAAGGATGATGATGATGATGATGATGATGATGATGATGATGATGATGATGATGATGATGATGATGAGGAGGAGGAGGAGGAAGGAGGAGGAGGAGGAGGAGGAGGAGGAGGAGGAGGAGGAGGAAGAGCCAAACATTTTTCCGTCGCGGCGCGTCAGTGGCAATCCGTTCGCGCCTTCCTGTAGTTGGGGCAGAGCGTATTGGTCTTCCAATTCGCAAGAGAAAAAGAGAAAGCGGAGAGCGGTCGAGGAGCAGGATGAAGGAGGGAGGGCGCTCATAGCGCGAAGGTCTTCGGCGTGAGCGCCCCGTGCGTCGGCCGTTGCGGAGACGTCCTGGCAGTGGACGTGGAGCGGCGTCGCGCCCACACCCAGGGGCTGAGGCACGGGCTGCAGGCGTTGGAGGCGTAACACAAGTCGACCAGTGCAGCGGGAAAGTCGAGCGAGTGATGAAGGCTCGTAAGTGTTCGCTAAAAGACCGTGCAGCCAGGAGGGGGGGCCAGGCATGCCATGTCGTGTTTTTGTTCCTTACGGGGCCTCTGGAAGCCCCGACCCTTTCCCAAGGGTTTGTTTTCCATCGCAGGTTATGTTCTGACGGCCCCAGGAAACGGCGAGGGCCCCCCCGTGGCTGGAATCGGCGAAAAACTTGCCGGCATGGTTTTTGTTCACGACGCGAGCGCGTCAGTTTTCGGGGCGATCCGGGCACCCCTCGAAGACCCCGGCGAGGCGCAGCTGCTTCAGAGTCTCTCGCGACTGGATCACCTGAAGCGCCATACGAGACGCTCGGAAATCCCCTTGCCGTGACATGTTTCACGACAAGAGCATGTCTGGGTTTCGGGTCGACAACGTATCCCTGGACATGCTTTGGGGTACCTTCTGGTTCCAGTTCCGGCGGGAAACCAGCCGCGGCGACGAAGAACCCCTTGGAGGCCTTTTTTAGAGGGGCCGAAGACGGCTGAAGACCTCCCGTCGCTGCCTTTCTTGTTTGCGACTTTAGCACGTCTGAAAGAAAAAGGTTTGGATGTAGTTTGGATTCCTACGTGGGGTCGGAAGATCGCGCCGCATCGGCGATGCATCGGCGATGCGGTTCCATGTGGGGCCAAACGTTTTCCACGTCGACGTCGCCCCGTTATCTTTGACGCCAACGTTGCGTGGCCGACGCGTGGCCGATGCGTCCGCGATGCGTCGTCGATGTATCGGTGATGCGGTGAGATCTTCCGACCCCTATTCGGTCGGCGTGTAGGTCGGAAGTACAGAAGGGGGCCTTGAAAAAGGAACCCTTTTCGTTGGGGAGGGGCTCCGCGTTCCTTAAGTGTTTCACAGCTTGCCTCAGGGTTTCTTTATGTTTTCGACAGGACATCGAAGGTTAGCTTCTGGAAAAAAAAAGGGGCCTCGTTCCTTGTTTAGGGTCCCTTAGGTCAAGGCCCCGACTGCAGGTAGGAAGTATCGATGTCGAGGGAGTGTGCTCCCTTTGGAAAATCCTGGACCTGGTGCGCGCCGCCGGCCGTCGCCGCAGCACCTCTGCGCCGGGGCGCTGCTGCTCGGCTTCGGCTGGACGGACCCCATCCTGCAGGCCCCTGGCGGGCGCCCAACACGCGTGCAAAACTCATATTCATATCCAGTGCCTCTTGGATTTTTTTTGGAAGCGGCACCACAAGGCCGATGCGCACTGGATATGGAGAAACATCGAGCCCCTAGGGGGCAAGTGTGTCCATATCCAGTGCGCCTCGGTATCCTTGGGAATGGAACCCGAAACTCCACACTGCGGTGGATATTGACAGAAGTATTGCCCGCACAACACACGAACGACAAACAGCGTTTTTGGAGGTTGAAGCTCTCGGGCGATAGCGGGCGTTACGTGGGGGGGGGGGGGGGGGGCGGGGGGGGGGGGGGGGCGGGGGGCGGTAACGTCATGTTTCCGGCTGGCGCCGTTTAGGGATGTTTGGAAATACCCAGACACATTCCGGAAATCAGCACGGATCGTGGCGTTACTTGGGGGGGGAGGGAGGGCTGTGCGGACATTCGCGCGTACGGTGCCCGCGCAATGTCGCGCGTACCTGCCTTTTTCTCCACGCCCTTTTCCGAGGCCCTGCCGCTTCTTGAAAACAGGAAAGCATGCCCCTTTTCACATCACCCCTCGGCGTGCAGCCGAAATTTGTTCGCCCTTTTCGGCATCTGGAGGCCCGTTTCGGGACCGCGGGGCGCCATGAATCTGCATAATGTGGCCTGGCGGGGCGATTTGTTGGGCGCATTTTGGTCGTTGGGGGGGGGGGGGATCGGCTGGACGGAACCCATCTTTTGGGCCGCCCATGTGGGGCCAGAAAAACGGCAGGTTGGTGTGGTGTCGACGCTGCGGGACGCCAGCCGCTAGCGCGGACAATCATTCAGAACAAACCGATCTTGCCGCCGCTGGTCGAAAGCCGTCGGCTCGTGTGGGCGGCAGCTGAAAGAGCAGAGAAGCAAAACCTGGCGCACGAAAGAGTTTTCGGACATCCGCGCTGATGTCTTCGGTCGGCGCTGCTCCCCCCTCGCCGTACCCTTTGCGCGCCAGTTGCCTGCGCAGGAGGCGCTGCCAAGGGCATTTGGGAGGGAGGTAGCTTCAGCGCCGACTCCAGGAGTCCGCGCGGACTCCCCAACGATGAATGTTATGCTTCTCATCGAGCGGTGGCGCCGCGTCGGTTGCACCAGCTTGGGCATTCAAGGTTGAACGCCGCCAGCGCCCTCAGGTCCACGGGTACTGAACATTCCGCGCTGTCGCTGTGAGCGTCGATCGCCCACGGTTGATCGATCCGCGCTTGTGTCAGGAAGATCGGCCACGCGCGGAGGGGGGTCGGGGGAGGGGGGAGGGCTTCTTAGAAGCACCCCTGTTTCTATGAAGGCGCGGGCCTTGTCTATAGATGTAGGGCCGGCGCCTTCTAAGAATCAGGGGTGTTTCTAAGAAGCCCTCCCCCCTCTCCCTACCCCCCTCTGCGCGCCGCCAAGAAGGACCATACCTGCATCGAGTTCATGTCGACATCAGCTCCCGTGTGCCGGCCCTCCCTGCCGTGTCCGACGCATCGCCGATGCATCCGCGATGCGGCGAGACCCTCCGACCCTGGCTGTGATCTTCGGAGGCCCCCAAACGGGGTGGTGACCACATCGTGTGGTGAGTCGGTGGGGATTCGGGGTCACCGCACGGTTCTGAGACTCGGGTCGTTCTCCGAGGATGTCTCGGGCGACAGGGGCCTCCAGTGTCCCGAGACCGTGCGGTGACGGACCGTGCGGTGAGGTCTCTCGGGGTGTTCCGAGGTCACCGCACGGTCTGTCACCACACGGTTTGGGGATCCCCAAGTTCTGGCCCCATCTGGGCTGCCTCTGAGGTCCACGCCGCCGAGCACGCCAGAGGATGCAAGGCCGTGAAGGTCCAGTTGCTCGGTTGGATCTGGAGACGTGGGGGAATTGAAAGATGCCAGTGCTGCCCTAGCCTTGCTCGCGTCGTGAAGCACATCACGGCGGCAGGTTTCTGGACGTGTTCGTATATTGCATCAGGTTTTCCAGCCTCGGGAGGCTTTCCAGCAGCTGCGCCTCGCCGAGAGCGCTCTCCGGGGGGTGCCCGGATCGTCCCGTACGGGCGCCAGAGGTGCGAGGTGTGGCCCGAACGTCAACGTGTTCACGTCGCGAACGACAATCCTCGACGGTTGGTGCTTGGCCGTTTTCGGCCTCCGGGGGCCCTCGCCGGGCCTGGGGATCTTCAAAACATTGGGTGGGAAGCTTCTCCTGGGGCGCCTATCCACGACGGTTGGTTCTCGGTCGTTCTCGGCCTCCGGGGGCCCTCGCCGGGCCTGGAGATGTTCGGGGCACTGGATGGGAAGCCTCGCCTGGCGGGATTCCGTTGCGAGTCCGGCCGTGGCGACGAGCTCCCGGGGCCCCAACCCCGGGAGGCCCCATCAGGGAAGGCGAACACGAGGGAGGGGGCACCGGGACCACCACGGGGGCCGCCTCTTCCACCCCAGTAGCTTTTCGACGGCCCTGGGGCCCCGCAAGGGCCCCCAGGAGCCGAAGACGGCCCGAAATCTCACGCCCGTCGGTTTGGTCGGCGGTCCACGGGCCATGCAGGAGCCCCCAGGGGCAGAACAATGGCCCAACACCTCCCTCGATCCTCCTCCTCCTCCTCCTCCTCCTCCTCCTCCTCCTCCTCCTCCTCCTCCCCTGCTTCCTGGCCCTCGCCGAGGCGCGGGCGGCTGCTGGGGATGCTCCTGGGTTCCGTCGGCTCGGGCTACCTCTACGACGCCGCCGGCTGGCGCGGGGTCGCGGCCCTGCTGGCGGTGCCGCACCTCTCGTACCTGGCCGCGGGCGCGTCGTCCCTCCAGCCGGCGGCCCCCAGGCAGCGCCGCGCACGGCCTGATTCGGTGCGATCCGATTCGCGGGCTGGGCGTGCGATGCCGACTCGGTTCGATGCGGTTCGGCTCCCCAGCCTCGGCAGAGGCCAGAGCCAGGCGCGGCGATCCGAGCTCGATGCCGATCCCTTTCCCCTCCGATCCGGTCCCGCGATGCGATCCAGCCCGGGCCTGCCAGGCCGGAGCGCCGCCGCCAGAGCCCGGGCCGCTTCTCGTTGGACGCGACGGCGGTGGCGAGGCTGCAGGACTTCAACGCGGGCCGCGGAGAGGACCTGCAAGACGGGAAACACGGCGTGTCAGTCAGGTGAGGAAGAGGTACCGATGTCGCTACCTTTGCCTCGCTTTGGCCTTTTGGGGGCCTCCAGGGAGGCCCTCGTCGCCACCGCTGCTTGTAAATTCTGGTCAGAAAGCACCCGCCACCCCGCGCGCGTACCTGGTGCCAGACCAGCTTGCCTGTGGGGGTGGTGTGCCAAAATCGTGTCCCAAGGGGATGCCGCTTTTCGACAAGACCCCCGCTCCACGGTCTTGTGCCGGACCAGCTTGCTTGTTTGTGGGAGTATTGCGCAACCGCCATGCTTCCATGAACGCATAATTTCGGAGCTCCGCGCGGGTTTCTCGGATCGGCGCTGGCCCCCCCCCTGGCCTGGAGCGCGGAGCTCGCCAGCGGCGTCGCCATGAGCCGCCTCCAGGGGGGGTCCAGCTCCGATCGCAGGCGCCCCCCTGCGTGCTCCGCGCGCCAGAGGGGGGGGATGTTGCCGATCCAGGAAGTGCCCCGCGGGGCCCCCAAGAGATGTTCTGCGCGCACGCCTCACGCCATCCCCCGGGGGCGCGACGGTGATCTCGCGCCTCGCGCTCTGCGCGGCCCCTGGCCAGGGAGCTGTGCCTTTCTCCGAGAGGCGGCCTCGCGAGGGCGGCGCGAAGGGGTCCGCGGGGAGGTCTGGAAGTCTGTCTGTGTGTGTTGTGCTGTTGCGCCTTCCTCTGAGGACCTTGGCGGGCTCCGGCTGCCCTTTGTGCTCCTGCTGCTGTGCGCCTGCTGCGCGGCCGAGTACACCCTCGGGGCGACCGGCGGCGGGGGCAGAATCTTCGACGGGGGCGGAGAATCCCCGGGGTGTTTGTTCGCTTAATGTGCCAGTCTGTGTGTGTGTGTGTTTCTGCCTGCTGCCCTGCCCCTCCACAGTGGAGGCCCATGCCAAGAAACACCCTGCTTGCCTCCAGGGTGCCCTGGGTGTCTTGGGTTTCGGTGGTTTTGCGATGGCAAACGGGACACTTCTACACCAAACATCAATGGACGTCCTGGGGTCTCAGGGTTGGGTTTGATGTGGAAGGTTTCTTGTGGATGGGCCTCCACTGTATTGCAGTGCCGCACTTTCCCGCTGCGCCCTTCTTGCTTCTTGCAGGCCCACCGCGAGTGGTCCTGTCGATCTCTTATGGGCGGATTTCTGGTCCCCAGGCCGCGCGATATGGCCAGGCCGCGCGCGTTCTCCCACTCCACTGCAGACGCCGCGTCGCCGCGAGCGTGGCCGCAACGCCAAAAAGTGTGTGTGTGTGTGTGTGTTTGTGTGTGTGTGTGCGCGTGTGTCTGTGTGTGTGTGCCCGCGTTAGCTCCGTGACGTTTGCTCGACTTGCTCCGCCTCGTCGCCGCGAGGGAGGCCGCGACCGCCAAAAGTGTGTGTGTGAGAGAGAGAGAGAGAGCGCGATTCATTTTAAACCACGTGTCCTGCATTGCGTTGTATGCGCTGCTGCCTCTGCCGCGTGCATCCGCTTCCACGTTTTTGTTCCGCGCGCTGTTGCATTCATCCAGTCCATCCATCTGCAGCGACAGGTGGTGATTGAGCTGAGGACTCGCGACGGTGCCGTCCACCTCACCGCTGGAGAAAAGAAGTCTGTGCATGTGTGTGTGTGTGTGTGTTTAACCTCGCTCAGCCTACGCATGCTCAGGACTTAAGTGTGTGTTTTCCTGTTGCTTCTTCCGCCCCGGACCGCGCAGCGCAGACCCCCCCTCAGGCAACCAGCTGTAGCTGCCCAGTCTCCCCTACAGTGGCGCCCACAGAGCTCGTTCTGGAAGGCCGTGTCGGAGGAGTTCTTCGCTTCCTGGCCGTAGGTTCTGCTCCCTGTGTCCTGCTTCTGCGGCGCTTCCTTCTCGTCCTCCTCCTCCTCCTCCTCCTCCTCCTCCTCCTCCTCTACCTCCTCCTCCTCCTCCCCCTCTTCTCCACCTCCTCCTCCTCATCCTCATCCTCCTCCTCCTCCTCCTCCTCCCCCATCGTCCTCCCGCGCCCCCTGCGTTCCCCCCCACGCGTTGTTTTGGTTTCGCCTGCCCAGGTGATGCTTTCGACCATGCCACTATACTTCACCACCGGCCTCGGCAGCCACGAGACGATGGACGTGTTCGCTTTCGGCGCCCTCGACGCCCTGCGCGTGGCCATGGCCACGACGGCGGCCCGCGACTCGGGGCTGCGGCCGGCGGCTTTCCTCGTCGTCCTCGTCGTTGTCGCCGTCCTCTTCGTCGTCCTCGTCCTCGTCCTCGTCGCAGTCGTCGTCCTCGTCGCCGCCCTTGTCGTCGTCATTGCCGCCGTCGCCGTTCTCCTCGTTGTCTTCGTCGTCCTCGTCGTTCCCCTCGCTGTCCTGCTCCTCCTCCTCCTCCTCCTCCTCGTCCTCCTCCTCCTCGTCCTCCTCCTCGTCGTCGTCCTCGTCCTCCTCGTCGTGTCGCCCTCGTCCGCGGGAGGACGCGGGGCGGGGAGCGGCACGCGGAGCGCGCGCGGGGCGAGGAGCGAGCGGGCCCCCCCCCGCGCGAGAGGCGCGGGGGGGCGCAGCAGGCGCGAGGGCCCCCCCGCGGCCACCGGGCGCTGGGGCGGCGTCGCTGTGCTCGCGGGCTGGCCCCGCGTATAAGGGCGTCGACCTCGCGGCCCGGCGCGCGGCCTCCTCCCGGCGGCGCCTCCGGCGTCGAGGAGGAGGAGGGGGAAGAGGGGGAGGAGGAGGAGGAGGAGGAGGAGGAGGAGGAGGAGGAGGAGGAGGAGGAGGTGGAGGAGGAAGAAGAAGAAGAAGGAATAATAATAAGAATAATAAGGAGAAGGAGAATAATAATAATATTAAGAATAATAGTAAGAGGAGGAGGAGGAGGAGGAGGAGGAGGAGGAGGAGGAGGAGGAGGAGGAGGAGGAGGGGCTGGTTCCAAAGGGGGTTTGAGGGGAGGGGGTTTTCCAGGAGGGGTCCCCCAGGGGCTTCGTACCCCCTGCTCTGACGAGGCTCCGAGGCCCCTGGGGGGCCCTCTGGAAAACCGCCTCCCCCAAAACCCTCCTGTGGAAGCCTCCTGAGGGAGGCGGGAGGTCCAGCGCAGGTCCAAGAAATCCGCGCGGAGCTCCAACAGTTGACGTGGTTGTGCAGAGCGTCTCCCTATAATATTAAGTCGGGCCTGGCCTGTCGCCCTCCACAGGAGACATATCTTCAAATAGTTTTAAACATAGTCTGGGGACGACAGTTTGATTATTTTTGTTGGAGCATGTTTGGAATATTTTGCGTTTAGTTATGCAAATGTTCATCCAAAATCCGCGTCTAGGGGTCGCGGAGGACGAGGGCCTGGAGGATGCGCCGGGCGATTCTATAGGCTTACGCCACATCCGCCGACCCCTCATCTTGGCGGTCTTGCCGACTCGCTTGAATCGGGCTGGGGAGTCGTGTAGGGGTCCATAATGACCTCTCTTGGGGCCATGTGGAGTCCGCTTGGGGTCATCTCGAGGCCCTGGGGGGCCCATCTGAAAAGAAAGGACGCTAATGCAATCTTGGCATCGTTCTGGAGATGCCCAAAGGGTGGAAGCGTTGGATTGGGGCCCGTATATTTCTTGCTGGGTTTGACTTCTTTGGTGAGGCGGGGTTGTTTTTGGGGGCATCCCTCAGCCCGCACGGGGAACCGCGGGCGAGAAATGGTGCAAGACGTGCAGAAGGTGGGCAACGAGAGGAGAGAGTGACGACGCGGCACGCCATGGCAGCGGTCGGAACGCGGATGCGGCTGCCGACGAGGAGGAAACGAAAAGGATTAGCACGATGTGCTGCGCGAAGTGCAGCGGTATCAAAGCCAAGCAGAACTCGCGGAAAGACAGCGCGAAGTGGAATCTGAGCGTCGGAACAGTGCGATGTACGAACGGTAAGTGCCTGTCGCTATATGACGAAAAGGCGGATATGTCGGAAGCTCAGAAGAAGCACAATGCTGCGGGGGAAAGGCTCTGTCGGACATGCGCGGAAGAGCGAGAGAACGAGGTGCGACGGGGGAATGCGGAGGCAGCGAATCGCAAGCGGAAGGCCTAGGCGGACGCGAAGCCACTGACGTGTGCGGCGTGCGGAGAAGCATTCTCGGACACGAAACATTTGAAGCATAATCAAGTGGAAGATCATCGAGCGGCGAATGGAGCGAAAGTGGTGTGCGGAGGCTGCAAGAATCTCGGGCTCACAGCCCGCAGTTGCCAGGCGTATCAGTGCGGCGGCGCGTGCAAGAAAAGACTACCGAAGTCGGCGTTCTCCGGGGACCCTGCCAACGTCGCACGCGATGCAAACAAGGGCACCCTGATATGCAAGACCTGCAAATGATGCCCAATCGGGGGCGCGCGTGCGGGGGAGGACAGGGGGGAAGGGGGAGAGAGGGATGTGGGGTGGGGCGGAGGATGGGGGGAAAAGGATCGGCAAGGAAGAGGATGAGGCGGGGGAGGAAGAGGAGGAGTGGGCGAGGAGGAGGTGGAGGAGGAGGAGGAGGAGAGGGGGAGGAAGACGGGGACACAGAGACGAAACTCTGGGATATGTGCTATGGGTGAGAGGCTTTTTGTATGTGTATAGGGATCTGGCGGCACGCCTCTCGGGGACCTCTGGAAAGCAGTTTTGAACCCACCTGGCGGCCGAGGTGGAGGAGGAGGAGGAGGAGAAGGAGGAAACAAGGCTCTTGGTTATGGGTTTTGGGTTAGAGGCGTCTTGCACCAGCTTGGGACCAATTTGGCAACAGGTTTTGCCGTCTTGGGGTCGTCTTAGGCCGAATTGGGAGGCGTCCTGGGCCGTGTTGGGATTCTCTGGGGCCGTCTTGAGGCCCTCTTGGGGCGCCGTGGGGCGATCTTGGAGGCTCTTTGGGCTACGTGAGCCGACGGAAGCCGGGAAAGGCAACAATTGCAAACATGTTCAACGACGCAATGGAAATGTAATGCAATGCGTAATGTGCGCCTCTTTCAGATGTCCTGGGGGTCTTCTTGGAGACTTCGTGGGCGATAGTGAAAGCCTTTTAGGCCATCTTGAGGCCATCTTGGGCCGTTTTCGAACTGTCTTGGGCCGTCTTGGAGCCATCTTGGGCCGTTTTGGAACCATCCTGGGCCGTTTTGGAACAGTCTTGGCCTCGAGAGCGCGAGTCCTTTTTTGTGCGCAAACGCAACCCCGCCACCGTGCCTGGGTTGTTGCTATGAGACTTGTGCGGTGATCGTTGGGATCTCTTGGGGGGCTTCTCGCGGGACTCTTGGAGGCAGTTTCGAAGCCTCTTGGGTGCCGTTTTGGGGCCGTTTTGGAGCCTCTTGGAGGCCTCTTGGCCTCTTGTGGGCGTCTTGGGGGCCTCTTGGGGCCTCTTGGGGCCTTCTGGGGCCGTCTTGGGGCGGAAGGCTCGGATTGTCGGTTCGGGCTCCCCCTCTTGGGCACCTCTCGGGGCCGCCTTGGGGCCCTCTTGGGCTGTCTTGGGGGCCTCTTGGGCCGACAAGTAGTATATGATCAAAATGTACGTTTCCCCATAGGAATTGGACGATTTTCGGCGTTTCGGCCCTTCTGAGGACTGCTCTTAGAGGCCTCTTGGGCCGGCTTGGAGGCCTCTAGGCTCGTCTTGGGGGCATCTTGGGCGTCTGGGAGCGCTCGTTTGGCGCCTCGGAGCTCTCGTGAGCCGTCTTGGAGGAGTCTTGGGGCCTTCTTGGCCCGTCTTGATCCTCTTTTGGGCCCAAAAGAGCCCCGTGACGCGCTCGTCGTGGGCCCGGGGGGGGGGGTCGAATCTCCGGTTTGGGGTCCCAAGGGGGGGGTTAGGGGGGGGGGAACTATCTCACACGCCTAGAGACCCACAAGGGGTCGGCGGATTCGTGGCCGCAGGTCTTGGCCCAGGCAGCAGGGGAAGCAGCCTCAGGAGGGGGAAAACACACACACACACACACACACACACACACACACACACACACACACAGACACAAGGCATCGTCGACCCCAGGGAAGCATGGGGAAAGATGGGAAGCGCTGGACGGTATGTTTCCGACTGGAGCTGAATGGTTAGAACGCCTTGCTCTCCCAGGGGGTGCAGGAGGGCTTGAGGCATCGCGGCTGGCGTGGGCAAATATGCAGGACACCAAGCAGTTGTGGGTTGTGGGCGAACCCACCACCCGCGGTCGAGCAGCAGGACAAAAGGCGGGGGGGAGACGGGAGAGCCCAGAAAATGCGGGAAACGATGGCCAGTCCTTGGATCTGCGTCTGTTTACATGTGCGCCCCTGGGCCCCGGGGGCCACATGCGAACCCCACCCCTGCCCCCCACGATTTCTGAGGGGGAGGGTGGGGTTCACGTCGTTCGGGAGCTCCCGAGTGAAGTGAACCCCACCCTCCCCCTCAGAAATCGATGTAGGGTAGGGGTAGGGTTCGCACGTGGCCCCCCATGGTAGGGGGGCCCAGGGGCGCACATGTAAACAGACGCAGATCCAGGGAGCCATCGTTTCCCGTACTTTCTGGGCTCTCCCGTCTCCCCCCCGCCTTTCGTCCTGCTGCTCGACCGCGGGTGGTGGGGTAGGGTTCGCACGTGGCCCCCTATACCAGGCCCTCGCCAGGACGGGCCAGGCCCGCGAGGCCCGGCACGCGCGGGCCGCTCCGGGGCCCCCCTCTGCCGGGGCCCGAGGCGCGAGGCCTTCGGGCGCTTCCGTGGGCAAATCGGCGGCGTGCCAGCCTCGGGGCGGTCGGCCTCCGGCGGCTGCGCCTCGCCGAGGGCGGAGTTCTCTTGGCATCGCTCGGACGTGTGCATTTTTTTCTCGGCGAGGACCTTCGAGGAGCATCCTCGACCATTTGGCGAAAAAAACACGCACGAACCCGAACAAAAACACACAGGAAATGGACGTCCGAGCGATGGCCAGTTCTTCTGGGGCGGCAAAAGGTCGGAGGTTGATAGACCTCCTACGCTGACGCGTCGATTAAGGAATGGGCCGTTTTCGGTTCGCGAGAGGGCGTCGAGGCCGTCAGTTTTGCGGGTCCAGGCCCGTCGGTTTCGGTCCCAGGCCGTTTTCACTAAGGGGAGGTTGACTAAAGGGAGGTCTGTCCACCGCCGAAAAGAGGGGGGTGATGACCAGGGGGACGTGGATAGCATGGCGGGGGGCATGATATCTCCCTTGGTTTCATGGCGCCTCCTCTTATTTCAGTACGTCCCTGGCGCCCCCCTGGGCCGCGCGCGTGCCGCCGAC